GGTGTTTATCGTCTCATTCTGCAATGCTCCTAATCGCTAGAATGCACTTACTGCTAATAGCTGCTGGGGACATGGAGACAAACCCGGATCTGCAATAATCAAAAAGAAAAGTCAAACCTTCAGGACACAGTATGGGACACAAGTGAAACGCTGACAATTGGAATATGTGTATATAACTTAACATGTGAAACCAACAGATGAGAAAGACTCATTACATGCAACGTGACAAATGCCAAGCCTTTGTTTGTTATCATTTGACAATTTTTAATTCTAAACTGTGAGCCAGAATTATCAACAATATAACTTGAGCACTGTCCTCTCCTCGTTCTTCTTTAACTGTCATCATTATAACTTCAGCTGTAGTCTGTTCATTGCTATTCACGCACTGCCACCTTGTCTGTTTCATGGTGTGATGATGGGACCCCTGAACCCGGCCGAGGGTCTAAGGACAGCGGTGATGACCCAGGACACTTGAGATTCAACAACATTTATGGACCTTGGATTATGTGGACCAACAGCTCGATGGGTTTTTATCATTGCATTTCTTGTGTTTGAAAAGTTTAATTCTCTGATCTGTGTTGGCAAATTTGACGGTTTTGTAAAGTCCTTAACTAACTACTGTTGTGACTTATGCTCACTTTGCGTGTAAAATAAGATAAAATAAGTGTGGCCCACATATAGGCCACACTTCACTGTCGTGCCTGAAAAAGCTGATGGAGCAACGATCAACTGCAGTTTTAAGAGTTCACATGATTTAATGACGTGTGAAAACGAACTGTTGACTGTGATGATCAAAGCACTCTGGTCTATCCAATCTTTTTTGAAGTTTATTAACCCTTTTTTGACAATAGCCCTTATTATGTCCAGTGCACTTCCCTGTGTCGACTCTATCTGCGATTCACATAAACACACTGGGCAGCAGGAATGTGTGCTACGCTCTGGAGATCAACAGCTGATAGAATTGAGTCTATGTCCCATCCAACACCCCAGGGGGCGCTCTAACAAAAGAAACAGTATTGGGCCATCACTGCCACTACTTTTTGCAAAGAACTTGAAACACTTTTCAAAGAACTTGAAAAAAGTAGTGACTTATAGTCCAGCAATTACTGTAACATGGTTCGTAGTCAGAATTCATGATGTAATTTGTAATGAGAATAAAGGCGTGCACATGACTGTGTGTGTGTGTGTGTGTGTGTGTGTGTGTGTGTGTGTGTGTGTGTGTGTGTGTGTGTGTGTGTGTGTGTGTGTGTGTGTGTGTGTGTGTGTGTGTGTGTGTGTGTGTATAAAGAACTCATAAGGCCATGGGGTTGGCCAACGATTAGTGCGACATTAATATTGTTTGCCTGTCCTGTAGATGGTTCACAGAAAGGTGCCCACTGTAGAATAAAACATATTATCCTGAGGCTGAAGGAAGAACACATCTGGTTTAATCTATATGTTTTAGTTATATCTGAAGTTTGAGAAACACAACACTGTTCATGACTGGCACTCATCTAACACTAGTGACTAATTATTCAGGACAGACGAACAAGAAGCTGGAGATGAAGTTCCAGCAGCAGAGGGCGCTGTTGAGTAAGGTGACGTCACTCCAAAAGACACTTGGGAGCATGGATGTATTATATTAACTTGGGAGATACATAGCTGTGTAGACTTTTTTTTTTTCCTCAAGGCAAAATGAATTGACACATTTAAAAACAAAAACAAAAAACTTTTATTTATTTCCCAAGCTGAATTTGGACTTGATCAGCCCGGACCAAGAGCATCAACAGGCCCCCAGGTGCTACTCTGTCAGCTCTGCTTCTGAGTTCCCACAGAATAGACTTTAAAACAGCTCTGCTTGTTACAAGTCTCTCCATGGCCTCGCACCAAAATATATTAGTGACATGTTAGTCCCATATGAACCAGCCCGGACTCTGAGGAGCACAGGGACTGGACTCCTGTTAGTGCCCAGAGTCAGAACTAAACATGGGGAGGCTGCTTTTCAGATTCATGCTGCTAAAATCTGGAACAGTCTTCCTGAAGATGTGAGACAGGCCTCCTCTCTGACAATGTTTAAAACCAGGTTAAAGACAGTTCTGTTTAGCTGTGCATACAACTGAGGGATTTTATATTTTTATCTTTCTTTTAATGTTCTGTGATTATTTATGATTTTAATGCTTTGTTTTGTTCAGCATTTTGAGTTGCCTTGTGTATGAATTGTGCTATACAAATGAACTTTCCATGCCTTACCTTCACCATCCGTCAGCTGCAGGTGAGACGTACACTTTGTTGAACTCTTTCACACATAAGGAACTCTGACCCACCTGTTCCACACTGTCAATGACATACTTCATATTTAGTGTTTAGTGAAAGTGGGTCATTTTAACCCAGTAGGACACTGGGTCAACAGCACAAGGGCTTCATGCAAACTGGTCCAGTTTTACCTGCATCGTTTTACGTTGACGCAGACTTTTCTGAGCTTTGTGCATTGTTGCTTAGGCCCAAACACCAACAGTAAGGCCCACTGCTTTCCCAAAGTGTAAAAAACGTTTACACAACATTACATACACAAAAAAGTAAATTCAAGCATGTTGTCTTTTTAACCTTAGTACTGTAGCCATGACAGAAACTACACGTTCTGGGGTAATGAGGCTATTTCAAAAGCAAAAAAAAAAAAAGATTAATCTTCACAGTTTTAGCTCGCAAAGGATTATTTTATTTTGCACCACAAGATGTTGCGTTTCGGCAAAACTACCCTTGATCAGACATAAGGAAAGTAGTTTTCTTCATTTGACTATTCTTGACTTTTTGCGCGCTACTCAGATTTGGATGTGTGCGTCAACCTCACTCTTGTTCTACCATTTAAAAAGCTCTCAATTTTACACTTAAGATATTTTTGCCTTGGGTGCTTCAGTGTTCGATGGCAGACTCAAATCGTTTTTTTTTTTTATTCCAATATTTGAAAGTCCACAGTTCAATGGAATTGGACTCATTGATCATATTCATTACAAAATTAGTTTGTCCGTCTCAAGCTGTACAAGGGTGCGTCAGCCCAACCTTCTTTGGGATATATGGTCTGTTCCAACAACGTGTTCCCTTGTCATGATCTTAGCATTTCATTCTCTTCCATTGTTTCCCAAAGCTGGATAGAAATGTGAAAGTAAAATGATGTGGTTGGTTGAATTCATAGAAACCAAGCCGCCCCGTTTGGCTTTTCTAAGTGAAACCTTTAAACAGTTTCTCTTCTCTTTCACTATCGGAGCCTAGGAATGTCTGGAGGACTGGTGTGACTGGTCCACTTTTAATAACTGTTGGGCTATTCAAAACATCAGAAAAATCTATCAAAACTGAAACCAATGAATAAGACTGAACATAAGCTTAGACTTGGACATTGCCAACATGGAGACTTGGTAAATGCAGGTTCCCAAAGAAGCCAGGCAGCCATGTTTCTGTATCCATTTTTCGCTTTATTGAATGATAAAATCCTGCGGCTCGTCGACTAAAAACCAGAATTAAATAAACGAGATTGTGAGACATGCAGCACGTGGGCCGGGCTCCTGCGTGTTGGCACAAACACACCAAAAGTCCCCGAGAAAGAGAAACAAAAACACACACTTCCGAAAGCATTTCATCGCCAAAGGTCAACTCAAAGGTGTGGAGGATGGGCTGTGGGCGGGGCTGGTTCACATGGCGTACTTTTGGGTCCAGTCCTGAGCTGTCTTGTTGTATCTGAAAGGAGAGGGAGAGAGTGAGATCAGGAAGTGTAGGCTGAGGACCCACAATGCCATGCTCCAAACGCCACGCACACACCGCCTCCAGCAGAGGAGGCAGAGCGGATAAATGAGACCCGAAAACCACCTGACTAGAGTTCAGATTGGGCTCAGGTCTCATTTAGCCACTCTGTTGTCGGGCCGGGTCTGTCTCGGGCCGAAAGGGCACGGGAGAGATGGACCGGAATCACAAAACAGTCTGCAAAATACCCCCCAGTTGGCCAGCCGCCCCGGGAAGAAAAAAAACCCTTTTCTTTCCTTTAATCTTAAGAACTTTAACCCTTAAATGGTTTCCTTCAATCATTTGGTGGATCACTTTGAGTCACTATCTACTTGAAGCTTGAAACTGAAATCTACATCTTTGGGAAATCTCTATGTTTTAGAAATTATTAGTGCTCTACTGCCCTTATAAACATAAAAAATCCCCAAAATAATCCATTGCTTTCTTCAAGGAGTGAACATTAAAGGGTTAATGCAAAACAGGCCAAGAGCTACAGTGTGTGCCGACTACTAAATACATGTTTTCAGCCCAAACTGCACATTTCATTCATATCTCATTCATATTTTCACCAACACTGACATAGACACAACTCGCATATTTAAAGCTGGGGTATGTATCTTGAATAACACACGTTTTGTCCCAACAATTATCAGACCACAACATGCAGTCTTCTTATGAGAAACCATTATTATTTGCAGACGTGTAAGAATATTAGAGAGCGTATGATAGAGCCACTATGAGTTTCTATGGGCTGAGCTGATTGGCAGAGTGCTGGTGGTCCTCCCTTTTTCACTTGTCTGTCTGCATGGGAAAACTAGTGATAGAAACAATCTGATAATGTCACATCCAACTAGTTCCTCACTCTCAAAACGATGCGATTTGAGTACGAGCAGTAAGCTATGCACGGCTACCTGCACAAGCAAGACGACACGTGGAAGCATTCTTGTACCCTTTAACAGCAACACACCACTCTCACAAACCCATGTGATAAGCACTATTCATGTGGACCCTCTCCCCCAGCCCAGGGATTATGGACATTAGTCATCTGCCCCCTATGGACCAATGGCTCTATGTGTTTTTATCATAGCATTTCTTGTGTTTGATTCTCTGTACCTACTGTTGTGATTTAGGGCTATACAAAAAAGTACTCGTGTGCGGCATAACGAGAGGTGAGAGCAGAGCGAGGGAGTGAGTGACAGACGGTCCATGCGACAGAGGACACCGGACTGGACACAGCAGCAGTCTTACCCTCACAGCATGGCGTACTTCTCTGTCCACTCCCTGGCTAGTCTGTTGTACCTACAGTTTACAACCAACCACTTTAGTTTCACCACCATATGTTTTGATGTGTTGCTGCTTTGCTTTTTGCACTGACAAGTGCCGGGGAAACAGACAGGGATTAGCAATAGAAAGGTAATGCTACAACAACTTGACCGACTCCAAATCAGGCTGTTTTAAGGCGTTTTCACATGGGCTCCACTCAGGACTGCCTTTTCACACTCTCATAGCAAGCTAAAGCGGGCTACACCGGGCGCGGCTAATGGGCAGGGCCAGGGAGAGTGGTTTGCTCCCACACAAACATCGGTGGAGAGTCACATGACCTACGCGAATGGCACAACATGCAGAGGACAACACAAGTGCTGCTGGAAAACTGTCATTTTGCCTTGATTTTGATTTGAAAGTTGCAGTGTCTACTAAAACTAAAGTTACAGATTTTCTGGAGTCACTGATTATAGATTGTTGTAAACATATTGCTACTGCCTACAGTCGGACCTCACATCCTCTACCTCCTCCGGAGGCCTGTTGTTCAAGCGCAGAAGCCCCTCCTCAGAAAGGCCAACTCCATTCATATGTGATATGTTCACTGAAACATGCGGAGTTAGGGCCACAAGAGCCAGGCCCATGTGAAGATTCCTACAGCAAGTCTGTTCTGTAGAGTTGATCATGAAAACAATCTGTACCATCTGGTTTAACTTTGACTTTCTGAGCATAAATTAACTTTGGGGAACCAAACATATTTATGTCATATCAAATGCAGACCTTAGTGTAAAACATTTTATAATATGAAACTTGAAAACGAGCACTAGCAGTCTGAAAAAGATGTACAGATGGGAGGCCAAGAACACACGCATGTGGAGACTAGTGACCGAACCAAACTGTTACTGAGCCAGAACTAGTTAGATGGATTTAGAGAAGTTCCAGCTGTTGCGGTTGAATATTTGCAGCCGCAGCTTCAAGGCCACCTGCTTCATGTGAAAGGTTTGCATATCACACAGTCCAGTCCCAGATGCAGCTGCGTGTTGCACTCGACATGCACTGGAAAGATGACCCACTGATCCTGCCTCAAGTGTGCGTCTGTAACCCGCAGGCTTCAGTTGTGTGTAGGCCTACTCTGAATGACAGGAGCTCTGACGGATTCAACATGGTCGCCCGGTTGTGTGACTCACCTAGCGGGGTCCGTTTTGTAGATGCGGGCAATCTCGGGCACTAGGGGGTCGTCGGGGTTGGGGTCACATAACAGAGAACAGATGGACAATAGGACTGAGGAGAGAAGCAGAGAACCAGAGTCAGACACACACATTTAGAGTAAGAATGAATAGATAACACAGATACAGCTCTACATCCATTCAGAGCATTCAAAACCAGACCATGGACAATGTCGTTTCAATGTCACGGTTCCAAACCGGCCGAGAATATGTTTATGGGCGACATTCCACAGTGATCTTTGGTCTCTACAGAACTGAACTCTGTGGGTTTGAAGATTGTGACCCATTGCTCTTAAAGATGCTTTTTCCGTTTGGTTTGTTGATCAGGAGTCTAAAAGGCAAAATGTAGTTGCTTCATTTTGTTAATCCGTCATGGCGGCCCCACACGTTAAGTGACAATTGGACCTATTTTTGTAATGAGTAAACCGTAACTGTATTTTTAAAAAGGCACTGAAATGTAAAGTCTAATTTAGTTTGAATGAGCAAGACAAAAAACAACAGAAATGCAGTTATATCACATTGACAACATTTATGAACCGCCCAAAAGCAGAGGTTTCTCAGTAGTTGGACATTCCTTGACGCACCACTTATTGCTGCCTGTCTCATGTTGATCGGGAGCAGCAGTGCTAACCGCTTGAACCAAATTAAACGTGACGTACATTGGGGCAGAGTGGTCGGACTGGTTTGAGAGCGATGCAGAGTACTAAAGGTGTCACGAGTCAGTTTGATTCCACAGAGTGGACCATCAGGACAGTTTAGGGGATGTTTGTTTTTCAGTTGTGCTGTGCGCACAAACGTGTTGTGTTTTACAGTGTTGTAATGAGAGTTTGGAATACTACAAAATGGTTGCAGGGTTTGGTTCTTTAACTGTACAACGTGAAAACAAACTGGTAAAAGTGAGGCGATGAAAGTAATGGGAAGGAAATCCTCCCCTTGTCTGCAGGACATTTCCCAAAACTGTCCTGGTTCAGGCTAACTGCATCCTAGGGAAACCCCCCCTCACTCCTGTTTGTGGCCACGTCATTTTATTGTGTCTCTCTCTCTCTCTGAGCAGTGTCCAGTCTGAGGTTGTCAGCAGTCGTTACTCGGACTTGACAGTCCAGGGACTCTGACTTGACTCGGGGAAGTATCTGCTGTTTGTCCAACTGTGTGAGGGCAATGAGGCCAAGACAAATTTCCTTGGGCACACAGTTTCTCATTGAAATATTTTGACCAGAGATGAGAAAAGTAATGTGTGCTGCTGATGAAAGGACGTGCGTAAATGAGCCTATTGGGTCAAACTTAGACCAGAATTCTTTTGAAAACAAGGAAGTTAAAGGAGACTGCACCTTTAGAGACTGTTAGCGCTGGAGACCACTGCGATCTCAAAATGTCCAGACAAATGCTGCCGTTACTGTTGATGTTGGGGTGGTAGATTCTGGTCGTGAAGGCCACCTGCAAAACAAAACCTGAGTTAGACCAACGAGGAACACCGGGGTCCAAACCCACTTATACATTTGAAACAAAAAGGTTTCAATTAGTTGAGAGAATGACTTTAGTATTTAAAATCAAACAGTAAAGATAGCTTCCAAGGTCATACCATCCAACGGTTCAGATTTAGAGATGGCCAAACCTGTGATTATGATTGAACACTATTGCAGACTATGTGTGGGACCCACAGGAGACCATCAAGAGGATCTTGTGAGATGAAGGAAACATATGAAACGCCTGTTATGAAAGCAGGCTGCTGCACTGCTCCATGAGTCCTAAACAACATCTGTCGTCATCCTTCTGAGCAGATGTCATTCAATCTGGACTGCAAACACTCTCTGAAGTGTACAGCGCTTCAGTGCGCACTTCTACCCTGAGCCAGGCTGCTGCGTCCAAGACGCTCCAGACGCTTCATTCATGAGAGCCACCGGTGCATAATATATATGAATTCATTCATTCGATCAATCTATATTTATTCACTTCTAGAATTCAAGAGAGATTTTTCTAATTGATCAAAACATTTATGCAAATTTGTTCAAAACGCAGATGAATATTTGGCGTATATTTATTTTTACATAAACATGAACAAACAAACGTCCTTTTTGAGGCTTCTAAACTGTCTTTTAGGCCGGCTTCCTGCTGACCTGTCACGAAGACGGGGCGTGAAACAGGTGATTGCTGCATAATTCTAGGCGTGACTTTCATTAATACGTTCGTATTCAGCCGATTTATCAACACCCGCAGCTGCGTACGCTCAGATCTGGGCGGATCTCACACGTTCATAAATCCGACGTTGGATTTTGCGTAAATGGAATATACACCCAAAATGTACACCTTTTTCTACGCAAGTTTCATAAATGAGCTTGTGTGTATGTGTGTGCTTGAGTGCGTGTGTGCGTGCGTTTGAACCATATTCTTTGAAACCCCAATTCCAGCTACCCCTTGTAGTTTGCGAGCGAATTTGGCCTACTTACTAATCTGCAGGCCTACCCAAAATTGCAAACCTGGCGCCGCTTCTGCTGCAGGGTAATGGATGGCCACCCTTTTCTGTTAACGTAATCCCTGTAGCCATCCTTCGGGGCACGAATGTGTGATCCATCGATTGCTCTGTAGATTTGTGGCAAGCCCTGCGCTAATTATGCACGGCAATGTCTTTTGCCTCATTCACATCTGGCAATGCGATGTATTTCTTCATTAGTTTTTTACATAACGCCTTACACACCCCATAAACACACCGATGGACTGTGGTCTTGCTCACTCCAAATGTCTCAGCCACTACTCTATACTCCGCGCAAGTAGCCAGTTTATAATGGCAATGGCAATGCGCTTCTCTGTGGGAACTGCCTCTCTAGGGCAGTGTGCAGCGGGAGCCACAACCGCTCCTCAAATGTTGTGCGCGTCATTCTGAAGTTTTGGATCCATAGTTCCTCTGTGAAATCATGTACCACGACTTCCCAAAAGGTTCTCATCCGCATCCTCTCCCAAGTATACGGAGATCGTCGCTCCATTACACTCAGAAGGAGATGCCACCAACGCTTAATCCGGTTAATGATGAGAGCCACCGCAGAAGTCAAGACAGTGTTGTCTACTTCTGTTGCCATGTTGACGTACTAAAACTAGTGAATAAACGCGCGAAAATAGTGTATACTTATTCGAATATGTCTTAATGGAAACAAACGCTTTTGCGAAATACAGGTTTTTTGAATTTTGCAATGTATCGAAAAAGTTTTTGCGCATTATTCAATGGAAACGCAGCTCGTGTCGAGCTAATCTCATTGGTAAAGTACTATGTGGCCGCAGAAAGGTCTCGTTATGATTCTAAAATCATTAAGGACAATACAAAAGAATAAAACAGTAATTTCTATCGGGGAGGCCTTTGTGAAAATGATGAATATAGATTTGTTGTTGGTTATAGATTAGAACTCTTTAGCTATTGTGGTCCCAGCTGGATTTGTCTGCATATCTGGCAACCTGAGTCAGGGAGAGCGCAGTACCCATTTTGTTCAGTTTTGTACATACTGCTCCTTTAAATATCACAATACTTTTCTCCGCTGTAACGATTTAATTGCGTGCGCAACATATCTCAATACTGAACAGAATCGATTCTTTCTCCCACCACTACAACTGTAAGAACACGCATGACGAGAGAATCATTATGATGGACAGAAGCTGAGGACGTGTGCTACCTGCAGTGTTGGCCACTTGGCTCAGCGCCCGCCCCTCTGCCCTCTGCAGCAGCTGGGACGTCATGTCTCCCGCCTCCAGCAGCGTCGCTAAGTGCAGTGGCGTGTTGCCATGACGATCTGTGAGGGTGGGGTCTGCGCCGGCCAATAGGAGAGTGTCCACAGCCTCTTTCTGCTGCGTCAGGACGGCCAGGTGCAGAGGAGTCTGGGGGAAAATTCAGATAAATGTGTTCATTTATTTGAGCTGTATTATGTTAGCATGTGTATTAGCATGTGTGTTAGTAGGTGTGTGTGTGTGTGTGTGTGTGTGTGTACATGTGGGATGTCTAGTTTACCTGGTACAGATGGTTCCTCATATTGAGCAGTTTCTCTGTAGAAAACAGTGACAGGACCTGGGTCAGACTCTGCAGCGCCTCCTGTTGGCTGTGCAGAACAGCTAAATGCAGACCCCTAGTAAATTCAATGGGATTATTAGCTCGACATTGTGACACATATAAAAGCTAAGCAGTTTAAAGAACATAATCTACATTAATTTGCTTTTTGATGTATGAACTTTTTCTTTGCCTATTTAGATTTACAAATTTGATATACTAGTGCAGTGCCCGAGATGGTCGATCAACTTAGTCACAACCAGTACCATCAATATTCAGGAATAACAGCTACAAATGGCTCAGCAAACAGTTGGCAGACATCCCTTGCTTTATATTTAAAAGCTCTAAGTATGTGTCTGAAAATTCTGCTACATTCTGAGATTTTTTGCAAGAATTAGAAACCCCCAATACAATCCATTTACACTCAGAACATGCTGAGACATGCAGAAACCCTCACAGCAGGTCTGGACACAATACAGACTGATATTTTATTATATTGTATTTTGTATTTATTTATTTGTTCCTTTCATGAAAATGCTTTGTTCACGTAATTCACAAAATAACAGTTACATACATATTTTAAACATTTACATGAAGGAAAGGAACAGAAAAGAAGAATACAATTCTAATGTTTTTCTGCCCCTTTTATTAACATGGGAGGAGCTAAAAACGACCCTGTCTGTTTAGAATGAAGACAGATGGTGAAAGAGAGAAACAGTCCCAAACTCACGAGTCGCCGTCTTCGTTTTGTGAGGACAGGAGGTGGCGCTGTGGGGCCAGGAGGAAAGCTGGGTTCCCTGAGACTGAGAACTGGAAGAGCGCCTCCACCTGGTGACGAGCTGCATCTTCTACTGTGGCATCTAAAACCAAAGAGAAAGAAATGCTCTGGGATACAGAAACCAAAACAAGACCTAAACTGAGAGACCTACACTGTGCTATAAAGAGAGGAGTGCTGCAAATGGCAATAGAACAGAATCAATAGAAATGTATATTATGTGTCTTTATAATTAGAAAAATATTGGCATTTGGCAACACATTGGTCAATTATAACAGTGTTCTATGAGTGGCAGTGGGCGAGTGGATGAAGCTTTAAACTAATTTTTTATAATATGTAATAATTATCGATGTCCTAAAGTGCTTTACAGTGGATTCTTCAACCTCTACTGTAGCCACAGCCAAACTTGGAGTAAACCAGGGGCGGTCATTACCCGAGTGATCCCCCAGTCTGGAGGCCGGAGGCTGGGCTGGCTCCTGAAGAACAGCTCCTGAGGAGGCATCACCAGGATTGTCGCCCTCATCTGCTGCTGCTGCTGCTGCTGCTGCCGGTCGACTGGAGGCTACATACAAATGGATGACATTGTATGATGCTTTACTCTCATACAGAAGAGGGTCTGACGAAGAACCTCACAGCATCCATCCCCCATGGTTCAGTATGAGTGACTCTTCAGCCTCGTGGATGCAATGTGAATGCAGGCTTCAACAAGTTCTCATTTACACTTGAAAATTGATTTTAAAAACTACACTAAGTTAAATACAAGAACTATAAAATGTTTTGTTCGATCAACTTTAAACTTGATCAGGAAAGGTCAAATATAATTGTTGGATTGGATTGAGGGTTAGGGTTATCCATGTAGCCAGGCCGTGTGTCGGAGCAGAGGGAGCAAGAGAGTCAGCTTGCTCCAGTTTGAATGCTCTCCTCGTGTCTGCGTAGCTTTCCTCCGGGTGCTCCGGCTTCCCCTACCACTAAAAACATGCACAATAGGTATGAATGTAAATAAGAGAGTGAGTGGATGGTGCTGATTGGAGTTGATGGTCCAGTGTGTTCGGCGACTCGCTTCAAAGTATGAACATGAAGCCATTTGTTTTTGCAGGAGAGGAAGAGTAGAGACAATCACCGCATCATCTCACCATGTTTGGCCCCTCCTCCAGAGCCCAGGCCCGCTGAGTACCCTCCAGAGAAACCTCCTCCGCCTCCAGCAGGGCCGTAGTTAAACGTGGGAAATCCCTGGTAGTACCCTGCACACAACACTTTGCTTCACACCTGTGCACAGTCAACACTGGGTCTATAGAAGCTCAGCATAAGGTTTGGGCTCCCTCCAAACAGCCTCCACCTCCCACAGCACTGGACATGGTGATCCTAGTACTTTGAACATGATCGAATAGTTTATCTATAAATAAACGGTGCCTACCTCCAGCTCCTCCTCCAGGCCCTCCTCCTCTGTACAGGCCCCCTCCTGCAGCTCCACCATGGGGCCCACTGAAGTCCTGGAAGTTTGGCAACGTCTTCTGCCGTTTCCTCTGCACTTCCTCTTTATCTGTGCGCACAAATCAGTGTTAAAGTCTCACAGACTACTCCACTTACAGCTTTAATCATCAAATGTAAAAAACTTTGACCACTGCACTTTGCTTTTTACTACAGTGGTTCTCAAAGTGTGGTACGCGGACCACTAGTGGTATGCGGGGCTCCCTCTAGTGGTACGCCAAAGAATCACTGAGAAAAAAAAAAAACATTAAAAAAATATATACAGTGCCTTGCAAAGGTATTCGACCCCCTTGAACCTTTCAACATTTTGCCACATTTCAGGCTTCAAACATAAAGATATAAAAATTTAATTTTTTGTCAAGAATCAACAACAAGTGGGACACAATCGTGAAGTGGAATGAAATTCATTTGATAATTTAAACTTTTTTTACAAATAAAAAACTGAAAAGTGGGGCGTGCAATATTATTCGGCCCCCTTGCGCTAATACTTTGTAGCGCCACCTTTTGCTGCAATTACAGCTGCAAGTCGCTTGGGGTATGTCTCTATCAGTTTTGCACATCGAGAGACTGGAATTCTTGCCCATTCTTCCTTGCAAAACAGCTCGAGCTCAGTGAGGTTGGATGGAGAGCGTTTGTGAACAGCAGTCTTCAGCTCTTTCCACAGATTCTCGATTGGATTCAGGTCTGGACTTTGACTTGGCCATTCTAACACCTGGATACGTCTATTTATGAACCATTCCATTGTAGATTTGGCTTTATGTTTTGGATCATTGTCCTGTTGGAAGATAAATCTCCGTCCCAGTCTCAGGTCTTTTGCAGACTCCAACAGGTTTTCTTCCAGAATGGTCCTGTATTTGGCTCCATCCATCTTCCCATCAATTTTAGCCATCTTCCCTGTCCCTGCTGAAGAAAAGCAGGCCCAAAGCATGATGCTGCCACCACCATGTTTGACAGTGGGGATGGTGTGTTCAGGGTGATGAGCTGTGTTGCTTTTGGGATGCAAAATGCCACAATGCCACAATGCAAAACATATCGTTTTGCATTGTGGCCAAAAAGTTCGATTTTGGTTTCATCTGACCAGAGCACCTTCTTCCATATGTTTGGTGTGTCTCCCAGGTGGCTTGTGGCAAACTTTAAACGAGACTTTTTATGGATATCTTTGAGAAATGGCTTTCTTCTTGCCACTCTTCCATAAAGGCCAGATTTGTGCAGTGCACGACTGATTGTTGTCCTATGGACAGACTCTCCCACCTCAGCTGTAGTTATCTGCAGTCAAGATCAGTCTTCTCCTTGTTTGAGATTAAAGTTTGGAGGGACGGCCGGGTTTTGGTAGATTTGCAGTGGTCTGATACTCCTTCCATTTCAATATAATTGCTTGCACAGAGCTCCTTGAGATGTTTAAAACTTGGGAAATCTTTTTGTATCCGAATCCAGCTTTAAACTTCTCCACAACAGTATCTCGGACCTGCCTGGTGTGTTCCTTTGTCTTCATGGTTCTCTCTGCGCTTTAAACAGAACCCTGAGACTATCAAAGAGCAGGTGCATTTATACAGAGACTTGATTACACACAGGTGCATTCTATTTATCATCATCAGTCATTTAGGACAACATTGGATCATTCAAAGATCCTCACTGAACTTCTGGAGTGAGTTTGCTGCACTGAAAGTAAAGGGGCCGAATAATATTGCACGCCCCACTTTTCAGTTTTTTATTTGTTAAAAAAGTTTATATATATATTTAAGTCTTACTGTTGAAACTGTGTAAAATGTTACAATGGCTGACAATATTAAATATCCTTCTTTAGGAATGAAACCTTCGCCTTGTTTTTGATGAATACTTAGGCTTACTACGCTACTGTGTAGTGTTGGTCCTTTGTGGTGGTACTTGGAGAGGCAAGTATTTTCTGAGGTGGTACTTTGTGTAAAAAGTTTGAGAACCACTATTTTACTACACTCCCACTCACTGAGCCAATTGAAAACTATCAGAGCTCATCTTTTAATGGTGGTGGTACCTACAGCTTTCACCTTTGGATTTTAGTCTTGTGGCCTTTAAACTGTGTGCCACTGGCAGCCCTGATTAGTCTGGGAAGAAGGAGGACCCGAGGTGGTCGAAATGAGTCACTAGCGCTAACATTTAGGACGTCCAAATAAATTCCAATGAACAGCGCCCATTGATATGAATGGGAAGACATCTTGAATCACCAAGGCGCGGTGTTCAGTGTGTACCTATGCTCCCCGTGTGTCCAGTGTGAACCTATGCTCTTGGGGTGATAAGTGACAGGCTTTAGTCTGTGTGAGTACCTATGATATGGGGGTGGCAGGTGACAGGCCTTGGCTGTGTGAGTACCTATGATCTGGGGGTGGTAGGTGACAGGCCTTGGCTGTGTGAGTACCTATGATCTGGGGGTGGTAGGTGACAGGCCTTGGCTGTGTGAGTACCTATGATCAGGGGGTGGTAGGTGACAGGCCTTGGCTGTGTGAGTACCTATGATCTGGGGGTGGTAGGTGACAGGCCTTGGCTGTGTGAGTACCTATGATCTGGGGGTGGTAGGTGACAGGCCTTGGCTGTGTGAGTACCTATGATCTGGGGGTGGTAGGTGACAGGCCTTGGCTGTGTGAGTACCTATGATCTGGGGGTGGCAGGTGACAGGCCTTGGCTGTGTGAGTACCTATGATCTGGGGGTGGTAGGTGACAGGCCTTGGCTGTGTGAGTACCTATGATCAGGGGGTGGTAGGTGACAGGCCTTGGCTGTGTGAGTACCTATGATCTGGGGGTGGTAGGTGACAGGCTTTGGCTGTGTGAGTACCTATGATCAGGGGGTGGTAGGTAACAGGCCTTGGCTGTGTGAGTACCTATGATCTGGGGGTGGTAGGTGACAGGCTTTGGCTGTGTGAGTACCTATGATCAGGGGGTGGTAGGTGACAGGCCTTGGCTGTGTGAGTACCTATGATCTGGGGGTGGTAGGTGACAGGCCTTGGCTGTGTGAGTACCTATGATCTGGGGGTGGTAGGTGACAGGCTTTGGCTGTGTGAGTACCTATGATCAGGGGGTGGTAGGTGACAGGCCTTGGCTGTGTGAGTACCTATGATCTGGGGGTGGTAGGTGACAGGCCTTGGCTGTGTGAGTACCTATGATCTGGGGGTGGTAGGTGACAGGCCTTGGCTGTGTGAGTACCTATGATCTGGGGGTGGTAGGTGACAGGCCTTGGCTGTGTGAGTACCTATGATCTGGGGGTGGTAGGTGACAGGCTTTGGCTGTGTGAGTACCTATGATCAGGGGGTGGTAGGTGACAGGCCTTGGCTGTGTGAGTACCTATGATCTGGGGGTGGTAGGTGAAGGGCTTGGGCTCGCTGGTCTCGTTGTCAGACTTTCTCTTGAGTTGGACTAACACAGAGGTGGGCTTCTGCAGGTTCAGGTCCCGGTACTTTGGAGTTTTGAACACGATGGCAAACTGAGAAAACGCACACACACAGTCATCTTTAGATTTTTTTTTTAGAGACAAAGTTCTTGTGTGTCCTTCTTGCAGTAGAGCACCAGAGCTAACCGCGGCCAGAAGAATTTGTGATACCTGTCGGTGTACGTCAGTGGGTGAGAAGTCCCCCAGAGCCTCCCAAGTGACTCCCGACTCTCCCTCTTCATAGAACCGCACCTGGATGTCATCTGAGACACACACACACACACACACACACACACACACACACACACACACACACACACACACACACACACACACACACACACACACACACACACACACACACACACACACACACACACACACACACACACACACACACAGTTAAACATTGAAAAACAAATATAGAACTTATTTGTTTTAACGCTTAAATATGATTGTTTTAATATTTACTACATAGATATACACATACATATTTATTAGATTACAAAAACTCTAATGTCATAAGTGGCATCATGTTTTCTGCTTTTATAATACATCTAACACGGCGCAATCCATCCATCCATTTTCTACCCCTTAATCCCTTTCTGGGTCAGGGGGGTGGCAGTCAGAGCTGCACCCAAGTCACATAGCACCAGCCCCTATACATAGTTCCCACAGACCAATGAATGTCACATGACCTCCTCGGAGACGCCATCTTTGATGGCTCGCTGCTGTGTTTGTGCATTCCATTAAACAGAAGAATGAGAATAAATGTAGATATTCAAACGCAAATTGGAAAAAAAAGGGCAACTTTTGAGCAAATAATTGTATATTAATACAATGGCACCACAGTTTAACGTGCTACGGACATGTTTTACATATTTGATCAAATTATGCAGCAAAAATTAACAAGCAATGCAAACATTTCTCAAAAACTTTAGATTTAATACCAGTTGGAGCTCCATTTAATTATTTTAATTATATTAACAATTAATTTAATTAATGCTAATGCCACACGGACACTCTGGATTGCTGTTATTGTTTATTTCCGCGTTTTTGACCGTATGTTTTGGTGAATGGTGGGCAACTGATTTTTCCAGGCGTAAAGAGCAGTTTATTTTATGACACAGATCTTTTTACAGAAGCAATGCTGTTTGTGAACATTGTTTTAGCCCACCATAGAACTATTATTATCTATTTAATACATTTACGTTGCCCTCGAGAGCCTCGGACGCGACACCGATCCTCCTCATAATAAAGTAATCTAACGCTAAATAATGAAACTCTCAAGTTACCAGATATCAGCATACACAAGTTAGTACTGAGTAAATTACGTCTGTCAACACATTATAAGATACGATACGCACCTGACACAAAGTGCTCCGAGCATATTCTTGCGTGTTTTGAGGGAGTTTCTTGCCTATTTATCTTCGCAAGCCATAACCTCCGTGGTTGTTCTGACAAAAGCTTAGTCTTCTCACATTCATGAAGTCTAATGATGGGTATACTGTAAAATCCAAGTTTAACGGAACCTCCGGCACGATTTGAACATCCATTGACCCAGCAGGAGATGACCATTTTCAACTTTATCACGACATTATCACGTTTCAGCTTCTTTTTCTATTGTTTTGCCCACAGAATGCCAACACAAATGTCGCCGGGTTGGCAAATCCCCGTATGTAGTGACGTCATGTGGGAACTATGTATAGACAATCCAATAGATATAAATGTCATAGTGCAACGAACATGGGGCAGGGGTGACATTTGAGCCAGAAGTTCTTGACAAAAGGGAGAATCGAGTCTCCTTTTAATCAGGAACAATGTTGGAAAGGATAAAAGATGAGTTTCACTATAGGGTTACTTTAAGACTTTATGTTTTTAAAGTTGTCAATTTCTGCTAAAAACCTTGGTCATGTAATAGTTCTTCAGCTTTACCTTTCTGTACTTTGTCGCAGAGCAGGTAGACCTCCTCTCCCCCGGTCACACAGCCTGCCGTTCTGTCCATTCGCACAATCTTCAGGTTCGAAGCATTTGGAGCCTCTGAGAAAAACACGACTCATGTTGGGCCCAAGGAAATATTCTTGTTTTGTAATCAGAAAATAACAAAGTAACATCAGGATTCATCGGGACCTGTTTCATAAAGTGTCAGGTGAGGTGCAAGATTAGGAGTACATGTAAAAGTGTGATTGTGTGAGTCTAGAGCAGGGCTGTCAAACTCATGTTGGTCAGGGGCCGTAAAATGAAAATAAGAACTGGTCGGGGCCGAAAGAATAGAAGTGATTTCCTTTTTTCATAATTGTTGTTTACATTATGAACGTATTTTGACATTTTTTTATTTATTATGTAATTTTCTGGTTGATTTCAGTGAAAACAAAATATGTTTATTGTTTAGGTTTAACCAAAATTGCACCAAAAATAAAGTTAATCACAATGTTTTAAAGTTTATCATATCTTATCTTATATTTAACTAGTTACCTTCTAATGATTGGTGTAAATTTGGTTGTTTTCCATGATGTAGAACATGTCTTGGTCACCCATAACCATCAATGCTGCAAAAGGGTTAATACATTTTAATTTTAAGGGCGCCTTGCGGACCAAATTTGGCCCACGAGCCGGAGTGTGACATGCCTGGCCTAGAGGCTTTAACAGTGTTGGTGTTAGGGTGCGGTCTTTATGTTTGATTAGGACAAAAACAATGCAGTCCATATAAAAATATATATATATCTTCAATACACCTCTTGCAATATTATACATTTTTGTAGTGCATGTGTGTGTGCGTACATGTGTGTGTGTGTGTGTATACGTGGTGTGTGCGTGTGTGTGTGTGCATACGTGGCGTGTGTGTGTATATGGTGTGTGCGTGTGTGTGTGTATATGTGCGTTTGTGTGCATACCTGGTGTGTGTGTGTGTGTGTGTGTGTGTGTGTGTGTGTGTGTGTGTGCATACGTGTGTGTGTGCGTGTGGCTCTTGCAGACTTACTGCTGTCATAGATGGGCTCCGACACCACGGGCTCCAGGCGGCGGGAGAAGCCTCCGTCACTGTCGGGGAGGAAGGCAGTGAACATGAGGCGCACCACGCTCAGGTCCATCTCTTTGGACTGAACATGCGCCGCAGACGAGATCAGGCTCCGCTGCTGGTCTGCACACAGGGGTCAGAGCTGGTTTCAGTACTGGTGTGGGACTGGACCATCTCATCAGTACTGGTGTGGGACTGGACCATCTCATCAGTACTGGTCTGGGACTGGTCCATCTCATCAGTACTGGTCTAGGACTGGACCATCTCATCAGTACTAGTGTGGGATTGGACCATCTCAGTACTGGTGTGGGACTGGACCATCTCATCAGTACTGGTGTGAGACTGGACCATCTAATCAGTACAGGTGTGGGACTGGACCATCTCATCAGTACTAGTGTGAGACTGGACCATCTAATCAGTACAGGTGTGAGACTGGACCATCTAATCAGTACTGGTGTGGGACTGGACCATCTCATCAGTACAGGTGTGAGACTGGACCATCTAATCAGTACAGGTGTGGGACTGGACCATCTCATCAGTACAGGTGTGGGACTGGACCATCTCATCAGTACTAGTGTGAGACTGGACCATCTAATCAGTACAGGTGTGAGACTGGACCATCTAATCAGTACTGGTGTGGGACTGGACCATCTCATCAGTACTGGCGTGAAACTGGACCATCTCATCAGTACTGGTGTGGGACTGGACCATCTCATCAGTACTGGTGTGGGACTGGACCATCTCATCAGTACTGGTGTGGGACTGGACCATCTCATCAGTACTGGTGTGAGACTGGACCATCTCAGTACTAGTGTGGGACTGGACCATCTCATCAGTACTGGTGTGGAACTGGACCATCTCATCAGTACTGGCGTGAAACTGGACCATCTAATCAGTACTGGTGTGGGACTGGACCATCATCTCAGTACTGGCGTGAAACTGGACCATCTCATCAGTACTGGTGTGGGACTGGACCATCTCATCAGTACAGGTGTGGGACTGGACCATCTCATCAGTACTGGTGTGGGACTGGACCATTATCGATTGGGCTGTTGCAATAACCACAATATCAATGAAACCCCAAGGATGCACCTAATTGCGCAGATTTTAGTTTTTTGGTATTATCCAGGGTCAAATGAGAGTCCCACACCAGTAATCATGTCAGCACATCAGGACTGGTGTGGGACTAAGTGGACCTTCAGGACACAGTGCTGAGGCTCTTTTCAAGGTTTTCCGAAGGCGCAGATATACGTGGACATGAATTATTCAGTCAGATATTTCACTTGTTTTAGTGCTGATACACACGTTATTCCTGTGGAGTCCTGGTTTTGTTATCGCTACACTATAGTTTCTTTGTACCACTTTGTGCTCTGAGCGCCACGTGTCACTGTTCTGCTTTGAGAAATCTCCTGGATTTATGGGAATATTGGGCCACAACCATAGACTGTAAATATTAACGGACGTAGTCACAGCTATCTCTGCTGTTCAAACTAATGTGCCATCACTTTCGTCTATGGGCAGTTTCAAACTGGCCGCGGGGAAACAACTGTGAAAAAACACATCTGCACATGCGTTAGCTGCACGAGCCCCACTCATTTAACGAGTGCCTTCAAAATTCCACAGACGCTAAACTAGACTGGTCCAAAAAAGACACACTCCCCTCAGCATTGGCGCACATGTGTAAGCGTTGGGCCAAGAACGACTTTTGGATCATCCTGTAAAGCCGTATTGCAAGCATGTCAGCGCACGTCATTTTGGACATTTTTGAGAAAGAACCCTTCCCCACTGGCTACAACAGACAATGTCATTGATTATGATTAAGCTAGGATTAATTAAACTTCTGTACCGTTCATAAAGGTTATTTTGACTGGCCAAAAACAAGGTACAAGTTTGACCTGTGAGCTCCCGGGGCGTGCGGACCTCCCCCTGCATGGCGTCAATCTCTGGGTGGATGTGGACCCCGCAGTTGTAGCCATGCCTCAGGGCCTCCACCATGCGCTCTTCCAGGGTCTTGCCAACATTCTTCTTGGTCACATGGAGGATGCCCAGGTTAGGAAAACTGATGGGGGAAAGTGAATAGGTTTGCAAATAAAAATCTACTTGTTCAATACTAGATTGAACTCTGTAATAATTTTAACAAAACATATATTCAAGATTTAAATCAATGTTCCACAAGTTGCCACAGTAGTAGTATCTCACCAACCGGTATGGAGTGAATAAATAATGACAAGTGAAGCTTCTATGAGTGTGCCAAAAGAAACGCAGAATGCTTTCGGGTGCTTTTCAGCCAAAGGGACAGGACGACTGCACTGTATTAAGGAGAGGATGTATGGGGCCAAGTATTTTTCCCTCAGTCAGAGCATTGAAGATGTATTTATTTATTGTTTATTTGGTTGGGACAGTACATGGCAATGAACACATCACTCCGGATTGTAGCCATGGGCTAATTTGCATCCGTTGTCCCACATTCGCACTCACAAACACACACTCATTCACCCTGAACTATTGCACATGTTTTTAGTATTTTTAGCATGTTTTTGGTAGGGGACACCAGAGTACCCGGAGGAAACCTAAGCGGACACGGGGAGAACATGCCAACTCCACTCAGAAAGGCCCTGTTCCGACCGGAATTCGAACACAGAACCTTCTTGCTGAGAAGCGAGAGTGCTATCCACTCAGCCACTGTGCTCATTGGTTGTGGCTGAGCCTTCCGACATGACAATGACCCGAAGCACACAGCCAGGAAAAGGAGTGGCTCCATAAGATGCATATCAAGGCCCTGGAGTGGGCTAGTCAGTCTCCAGATCTAAATCCAATAGAAAATCTTTGGAGGGAGCTGAAACGATAACTGACATGAAACGAAGTGATACCTGATGGTGGAGTCTTTGGGCTGCAGGTCTGTGATGCAGATGCCTTTGTCGCACTGTTTCCCCACGAGGCTGTGAGCGTGAAGCTGAGGACTGTGGGTCAGGGCCGTGACCAGCTGCACCACGACACGTGCCGGGCCCTGGTAGTTACAGATCTGACGGGACAAGAGACACATCAACAACTCTGTCTTTTACATCTGGCTCCAGTCCATGTTACAACAATGTCAATGGTGTACGCATCAGAGTAGACCTCTCCACATATCGGAGGTCACGCACCAAAATTTAAAATAATGGCTGTTTTACATCGGATATGATAATAACACCACATTTCCAGGATGTTAATGTTGTAGGAGGATGAAAATGAGGAACTGTAATGTGACATATGTGAAATAACGTGTCAAAACAAGACCTTGTGTTTGTCTGTGTGTGAAGAGTTTTTACCTTCTCTCTGAGCAAGTTACTTCTAAAAGTACTTGTTCGTTTAAAAAGTAACCTGTTACCCTTTGTACTCTTTTAATGCAAATGTCCACTACTTTTTCAACTGGTTTGACCCACTCATTTTTAAGAGATGTGATGAAGATTTTATATGCATTACTTTTATAACCTGTTTGCATCCTGAGCCAAAGCAAATTTCTAGTTCAGTGATTTCCTGTCACTTGACTGTCAATGACAACCAAAATATGATGATTCTGATTATTACTATGGTTTGAAGATATTTCTGACAAGTTACAGAGACTTTAGTTTGAAATAAGAAAATACAGTACATTTTTCTTCTAAATGCAGTATTATTGCAGACCAAAAAAGTCATTCTAAAGTAAGTAAGTAATCTTTAGTCATATAACGCATTTTTACAGAGCACGGTCACCCAAAGCACATTATAATGTTTGGTGTTCCACCGGAAACCAACAAGAGCACCTCAATCTTTCTAGGAAGTGCCTCAGTGTAACGTCTGATTTGCAGAGCGTCAGAACCAGGAACAGGAAGTGGTCAAGCGTGATTCAGAGCAGGGATTAGAACAAAGGAGACAGTTGTATCTGACATACAGTAGGCCACATTCATTATCACTTTATGTCTCCACACTAAACTTTTACTAGAACATGCTTTTTGTGGCTCTTGTCAAGTTACAATTGAAACTCAGTTAGAGTTTTACAATAAAAATTATCTGAATGAATTTGGAGAGAAAATGCAGAGCTGTAGGAAAATAGCTAGACCAATGGTCTCTGGTCTATAAGGGATTTGAATTAGTTGTGTCCAATCAGGAACCAGTGGGGGCGGGTCTAACTGATGCATGCATGTGAAAAACGTCTACCCATCTTCACAAACTGAAAACTGACCTTCACATAAAGAAATACTCAATACCAACTATTGCAGACAGAGAATATGAATAACTAAATAACTGCTCATAAGCACAATTGTATTTTTTAACCTTGTTACAAGATTGTTACTCACAAAAACACATATGCATCCGAAATATTATCAGGAAACCAACAAAAGCATATCCCCCCATCTGTCTAAATGCTCTCTTTTCAGACTACTTATTTTTTTTACATTTTCACATATTAACACAGAGGGCCACGGGTCAGGTAGGACCCTACAGGGTGTGGTGACCAACAGAGATATGATAAAAAAAATTACGATGACTTTATCTGTTATATAGTACGACTTCACTTGTAATCTGTTTATTGCTATGCACCAGTTGTCCCGGGTGAACCTGGCCTCCTCGACAAAGACAATTGGCAAGGTCACACACGCACAGTTAGGACAGACCAAACCGCCCGACGCTTTCGTCCAACTTCACATACTGAAATTATCCTGATTCCTTCCAACGCGACACGCAGCATCACACCGCTTTTAGGGACCATCAACCATAGTAACCATAGTAACCATGGCAAATATGGAACACATCAAACCAAGTCATTTCCAACTCTACATCTCCTAACTGCCGGGTTGGTGAATCTCATGGCCATGATTCTTACAGAGTCGAGCTCTGATCTTAATCTAGGATAAATAATGATTTGATTTGAATCTAATCTGATTTTGAGGCGTGTAGATAAAGTAGATGCTTAAATGTAGATTGCATCGATTGAGGATCTTGCTAGAACAACTCCAGGACTGTTTTTGATGAAGAAACAACATTGCTTCATGATTAAAGAGGTTTTTTCAGTCACAATTGATCGTGGTTTCTGATGTGGAGTCCTGGTTTAGACTGTGTGTTTTGCAGTAATGGCTTCAGGAGGGGACATTCCCGCTGTGGAAAAAGTTGCTCAAGAAAAGAGCAGGAAATAAGACTTAACCAGGAATAAGTGCAGCGTGATCAGATTCACGGCAGACCCATCGAACCTGACAGAAATATGTGGCTCGAGAGGGAACATGCAGGAGTTATGACCAAACAAAACTGGTTTAGGAAGTAGGAAGTAGTTGTTTTTTCTTCACTTTACACATATGACCAACAGCTGCCCTGGGGCTAACTGACAGAATCCTGGCTGTAAATCTGCAGTTCACACACCAATTATGCAATGCCAGACGACACAATGATAGTGTGTACTTTCCTGGAATTACAGTGGTCTCCCATCCAAGCACTAACCAGAGGCCAGCGTCTGAGATTAGACATCAGGTGACCTATGTCCACATTATGGATCAAGTGGCGACCATGGTTTAGTCTTGTCTAACTTCTGGATCAGTCCATGGATTAGTCCTGCCCAAGTCCTGGTTCAGTCCTGGTTCAGTCCTGGTGCAGTCCTGGTGCAGTCCTGGTGCAGTCCTGGTGCAGTCCTGGTGCAGTCCTGGTGCAGTCCTGGTGCAGTCCTGGTGCAGTCCTGGTCCTCAGCAGGTTTACGGGAGTGAGATGTACGAAAGTTGTAAGGAGACGGTGGAATGTGGGCTTTTCCCAGCTCCAGTCTGAACATGCTAACCTCGCGCAGGGTTAGCAGGACGTGCTGCTGCTGATGAAGTTGATGATGATGATGTTGATGATGAGAGAACACTGTCTGTGTCTTGTACTAAAACACTTCTCAGACGCAGTATTTTATATAATACTGTACACGGGACAGAAACAGGTGATGACAGTGGAAGCGAGTCAATGAAGTAGATGCTTAAAGTAGATTTTATGATTGAGTATCTTGAAGAGGTGTCAAGTTGAACTAGATGGGAGAATTATATTTTTATTTCAACACTCCAGGGGCAACAAACTACAGCAATCTGTGACAATCATTTCATCCATCCATTTTCTTCCCCTTAATTCATTTCTGAATGTGGAAGGGTGGCAGTCTGAGCACCAGCCCCTTGTTGATCCTCCTGCAGGTGGTGAGTCCACAGGGGTCTTGATATTTCAGCGGGAGCTTCAGGCAAAGTGGGGTTAAGTGTCTTGCCCAAGGAAACCCAACGGCAACAGGCATCAGTGGGAGTCAGAATCATTACAGCAGTTTTAAAATCACAGGTGAATGTGTGGGTGATGTTTAAAATATATTTGTTAGATTGACCCGCTTGAGTCTTTCTTGAGTCCTGCTTGAGACCTGCTTCAGACCCGCTTCAGACCTGCCTCAGTCCTGCCTCAGTCCTGCCTCAGTCCTGCCTCAGTCCTGCCTCAGTCCTGCCTCAGTCCTGCCTCAGTCCTGCTTCAGACCTGCCTCAGTCCTGCCTCAGTCCTGCCTCAGTCCTGCCTCAGTCCTGCTCTTACCTTTACGGTGGGGTATGTTTTCCTGTTCTTCCCACTGGACGCCCCGGGCAGACCCCCGTGTGAAGGGCCCTCACAGCCGTACCGGAATCTGAAACCACGCTGTCAAAATAGACACAAAAAACTTCACTAGAAATTGTTGAAAACAGCTGAAGTCATTGTAAGTGACTGCATATCATAAAAAAAATGCTACAAAAGATACTACACGTTTTTACACCGTTACCCCCTCTACCACCCTCATTACACTGTTAACCCCTCTACCACCCTCATTACACCGTTACCCCCTCTACCACCCTCATCACACTGTTAACCCCTCTACCACCCTCATTACACCGCTACCCCCTCTACCACCCTGGCAAAGAGATAATGACTCCCAGATTGAAAAGGAGGAAGGGAAAAGTTCAATTTGATCACGGACCATAAAACCCTTCTGCTCACAGTGTTCACGGAATATAAAAAGTATCTAACAAAAGAGAACGCAAGAGAACATGGCCAGGTCTAGTGTCCCAGAGCGGGGAGGATGAAGGCGTAGGATCGAGAAGAGTCAGTGGAACCTGCACTATCTACAAACATGGGAGGATGGATGTAAAGCAGATTTCCACCAAAAAAAGCAAAGAAGCAGCTCTATCAAGAATGCACAGCTTATGTCATGGAAGGTTGACAAGACGGAAGGTATCCATAGAACTGAAAGTGTACCATAAAAGGAGGAGAAAAAGATGTGTGTAATTGCCAATACTGTTCAGTGATAAGCACAGTTCATTGGGTCTCTATCAACATTTATGGACATTGGTCTTCTGACCCTTATGGACCAGGGCTGTATGTGTTTTCTTTAACTGTGTTCTCACCTGTTTTGATTCTGTTTATTTGTGTTGGCCAATTTTGTTTACGTCATTAGGTCAACCTGTATAATACTGAAATCAGGTAACTTCTGAAGTGATTTGAAAGTAGGTATTTTTTCTCACCCCACTTTTTAGTGTATTTATTCATTAATCAAGTTCAAAATAATGTATACACGTGTGCAGAGATTCTCAACCTTTTTGGCCCCGAATGCCCAATTGTTATGGGTCCAACGTTGCCTGGGGTCGATTAGATATTACCATTGTAGATGTTATTATACATGTATTTGGTTTGAATCTAAACTGTTTGATAAGCACTACCTTGTAAAAAATGTCATTGTAAACACTCATTAAATATTCAATGTTTTTAGGGATTAATTATTGCAATAGGTGGTATATATGATTGACTGAACAACCTAGGGTTTGGTATGGGAGCTCGACACGGACGAGAAGGACTAAATGTATAAAAAATAATAGATTGTAATAATAATAATAATATTGTAAGAAATGTCGTAGAAAGACAAATATAAATAGACCATATGTACATACTGTAGAACAGGACAGCACAACAGAGCAGCCAAAAAAAAAGGGAAAAAAATGGTTTTTTGAGTTGACTTAACTTGATCTAACAACTTTGTAGACCCTTATATTACTGGTTAATTTTATAAGTTGTGAGATTTGCATAAGGGGCCTCTACATTGATGAACGCCGCCAGACCTGGCGCACAGCTACAGAGACGCACACTGTATGGATAGACGCGTTGGAGTTCATTCACAGATTCTGAATCAAGCTTTTTCCTGCTGCAGCGGTGACACACGGATCAAACAAATGACTATACGGGACAAAAGGAGTACTGAGAGATTGACATTAGTATCATGGTCCACCAATAATTTCAAGGCACAAATTATAAATATATTTGTCATTATTGTGATTGTGGTTTATTAACAAGAGATTTATACTTGTCTAATGGGAAAGATTTTAGGTTACACCATGAAGAAAAGCTACTTATTAACTTGCTTTTTGTATTTTTTGACATATTGTACAATGATTTGATTAAACCAATAAAAAAAAAAAATAAGGTTTAAACATTACCAGCAATGAAAAAACAGTCTTATTTTGTTCAACGTTTAAAGTCATTTTCATTATGTCACCCAAATATCCTCTTTGTTGGACACATGGTTTCATCCCAGAGGGTGAACCATAGATATGTAACCTATGAGTTGACCACTGCTGGACAGAGCTGTGTCCAGTGCTGCTCTGGAGTGAGGATTAAGCAGTAGCAGATGTGGAGGATCAGAATGTAGGCCAGGTGTTCACTCTCGCTAAACTTTACACATGTGACATAAGCTCAGGCCACCCCAGCGCACCCTGGCTGCACTCCCTCAGTACAGCCAGCACGGACGCCGGGGACAGTTACACTTTTGTAGCTCAAGAAGTAAAAGTGACCACAAGCCTCGAATTACTATTTGATTACAGAACTACTTGACACAAGTTGTGTGAAAAGCATGTGGTCATTTCTTCAGATAAAAATAACAGGTGCAGGACAAAGAAGCGGGGAAAACATTCATCTATCACTACTTTGTATTTGTTTTGATTCAAGGTCTCCCGTTCACAGTATTAATCAGGCCCTGTACTGCTATTACTTCAGAGGTCTTACGGGATCTGACTATCACCTGCAGGGGCGTCACTGACATTAGTCTTTAAACGTTCGCAATTGAATACAACTTTTAATATGTATTCATCTTCTTTGCAGTGTTTAGATGATAATTGTTTTAAAACCGTTTGTTTTAGTTGAATGGTATGATGATTGATACATTGCTAGACACACACACACCGCACGCACACGCGCACGCACAGTTCCCACATGGACGTCAATACATACGGGGATTTTGCCGACCCGGCTGCCATTTGGTTGGCATTCTGTGGGCAAACATTTACGAAAAAGAAGCTGAAACGTGTTAATGTCGTGATAAAGTGAAAATGGTCTTCTCCTGCTGGGTCTATGGATGTTCAATCTGCCGGGTTCCGTTAAACTTGGATTTTACAGTATACCCATCATTAGACTTCATGAAATGTGAGAAAGTAAGCTTTTGTCAGAAAAACCACGGAGGTTATGGCTTGCGAGATAAACAGGCAAGAAACTACCTCAAAACAAGCAAGCAATATGCTCGGAGCACTTTGTGAGTGTGCGTTATCGTATCTTATAATGTGTTGACCAGAAGAAAATTTACTCAGTACTAACCTTGTGTATGCTGATAGTCTGGTAACATGTGAGTGTCATTATTTTAGCGTTAGATTACTTTATTATGAGTATGTCGGGTTCTTGTAGCGTGCGAGGCTCTCGAGAGGCAACGTAAATGTATTAAATAGATAAGAAATAGTTATATGGTGGGCTAAAAACAATGTTCACAAACAGCATTTGCTTCTGTAAAAAGATCTGTGTAATAAATAAACTGCTCTTTACGCCTGGAAAAATCTGTTGACCACCCATTCACCAAAACATACGGTCAAAAACAATAAAAAAAAACACTAAATGCGGGAAAATAAACAATAACAGCAAATCCAGAGTGCTCCGGTGTGGCATTAGATTTATTATAATTAATTGTTAAATATAATTAAAATAATTAAATGGAGCTCCAACGGTATCAAATATAAAGGTTTTTGGGAAATGTTTGCTTTGCTTGTTAATTTTTGCTGCATTTATTGACAAATATGTAAAAAACATGTCAGTTGCACGTTAAACTGTGGTGCCATTGTATTCAATATACATTTATTTGCTCAACATGTTGCCCTTTTTCTATTTGCGTTTGAATATCACATTTATTCTCAGTCTTCATGTTTAATGGAATGCACAACACAGCAGAGCTGCCATCAAAGATGGCGTCTCCGAGGAGGGTCATGTGACATTTCATTGGTCTGTGGGAAATATGTATTCTTTTATTAGATAGTGTTATTTTTAGTTTTAAACATGATTTTTTTATTTCTTCGGTATAATTTATCAGTGTTGGAACCACTGGATGTATTATTACAATACAGGTATATACTGACATGACATTATGATTATTAGTTGGTTATCAGGATTTTTTTTTAGGCATGAAGTGCTGCTCTGCCCTAAATCCCGTCTTCTACTGCCATCTAGTGTTCAGATTTCAGTACGATGGACTGGTCGTTGGTAAAGCTTAGTTTAGATTACAACACACACATCAACAGACTCTCTCCGGTTTCTATGGCCTCTCTCCCCCCCTCGCGCGCTCTCTCTCTGTTCGATTTTAGGAAGAGGCAAGATTATTTGTATCGCACAATTTATACACAAGGGCAAACTAAGAGGGTCTGAACAAAATTAGCAAAAGTCATAAATAATCAGAGTACATTTAAAAAGAACCAAAGATAAAAATATAAAAATACCTCAGTTGTTAGCCACAGCATAAACAGATAATCGTTGTACTGGTTTTAAACATTGTCAGAGGAGGAGGCCTGTCTCACATTCTTTCTGGAAGATATTGTTCCCGATTTTAAGCAGCATGAATCTGAAATAAGCAGAACTCCCCATGTTTAGTTATGGACTCTGGGCCCTAAACAGGAAGTCCAGTCCCTGTGCTCTCAGAGTCCGGGTCTGGTTCATATGGGACTAACATGTCACTAATATATTTTGGTGCGAGGGCACATGGAGAGACTTGTTACCAAGCAGAGCTGTTTTTATAGTTCTATTCTATGTAGCCCAGGAAGCCAGATGCAGAAGACCTGCAGAATGGACTAATATGAATGCGTACTCACTGGTTTAGTCAGCTGCAGTACATTTTGAATGTACTGCAGCTGTTTTACAGCATGTTTGGACAGGACTGTGAGGCAGGCCATTGCAGTAGTCTAACCTACTGGAGACATATTGCAAGGATACGAATCTACAGTCTGCTTTAGACACATGTTTTTGATCCTGGGCAAGTTTTTTAGATGGTTAAAAGCTGCTGAGGTTACTGAGTCCAGTATTACCCTAGAATTTCTGACCTTGTTTGAGGTTTTTTAAACTGTTTCGTGAATAGTAGCTGTGAATCTCAAAGTGAAATTGTACTGTTTCAGTCTTGTCTTTTCTTGTCAATGTGGCTTAAAGAATGTATATAGTTCATACACAAGGCACCTCAAAGTGCCTAACAAAAAGGCAAAAAATTGTAAAACAAAATATAACATAAATAAGCACGCACAAAAAGATTGAAGAAAAAGTCCCGCAGTTGATTGCACAGAGAAACTAAATCAGTTTTAAACCTGGGATTTGAAAATTGTTGGAGAAGAAGCTCACTATTTTTTCAAAAAAAAAACTGATTTTGAATACGCTGCCTTGCCATTGTTTAGTCTGACTCAGGGATAGCAGGAGGCCAGTCCTTGTATTCTCGCTCTCAGAGTACCAGCGAGGCCAGTCCCTGTCGCTCGCTGGCAGTCACTGCAAGAGGCCCCCCCCCAGTCCCTGTGCT